ACCCTAACTATCTATCAGACCCTCATGAGAATCCTGCTTGTCCTAGACTCTCCCCACTCTGCCCCAGATTTGTGCCCAACAGGGTGGTGGTCGGCAGGGGGCTCAGGGACGGTGTGGCTCAAATCTGTGTGGTCGTGCAGATTAGGTGGGTCGGGGCTGATGGGGTGCCCAGCACATGAGAGATGCTTGCTCTGTATGTGCTGGATTTTCGAGAGGTTGGGCCCTTCTAGGACTGAGCAGGTGGCTGTGAGGCAGGTGCTGTATGTGCAGAGTGAGCTCCTACGTTCCCAGGCCTGGTGCTGGCTCTCCGTGGAGACCCAGGGCTGGGCTGGGCTTGGCTGGGGCTCCCACAAGTAGTAGCTTGCTCAGCCCTGTCCACCTGATTCAGGTGTTCTAGCCTCCCTGCCTTCCATCCTGCGGCCAGGTCCCCCTTGCTGGAGTGGTCCAGATTTACCTGCTGCCACCGCACCGCCCCAACCCCAGGGTCCTACTCTGCCCGCTAGCCTGATGTTCTGTTCCCATGTGTGACATATAGGACACCGTTGTCCCATTCTAGAACTCTCCTTCCCAGCCCTGGGGTGGCTGCTCCTCGGCCCTCCAGCTGGCTCTGTGGTCCTAGGCTCCTCTGTTACTCCTCCCCCAGTGCTCCCTCAGACTGCAGCTGTTCCCTCCGGGCCCCGGTACCTCCCCTCAGCCACCTAGAGACCTGTATAGGACATGCCACTTCCCAGACGCTTCAGCTACCCCCTCTCCCTTCCCCGACAGACCCCCTCCCAGTTCCCTGTTCCCATGGCAGGCACCATTTCATTATGTTAGTTAATTACTGTAGTTTTGTTGCTTTTTTTTTTTTCCCCCATCACCCTCTCCAGCCCCCAGTTCCTGCCATGATTCCCCCGATTCCCCCCTCAGAGTCTTTTGTGTGTCTCTCGCTTCCGCACATCCCTCCCGAGCCCAGGACCTGCCTGGCTTATGCAACAGCCTTGGATGGAACCCCCACCATCCCCACCCCGCCCCCCCCTCAGGCACTGGCTCAAACTTCCTCAAACCCCATCTGCGTCTTGCCTCACTTCTCCAAAACCACCATTCATCCCTTTCCTCCCGTCTGGATTTCTCCAGATGACAGGTCACATGATGCAGTAGTGCCGGGACTCTGGGTTCTGTTCCCACCCTGCCTCTTTGCTGCGTGTTCCGGTCAGGTCACCATCCCTCTCTGAACACCAGGTGCCTCATTGTCTGGACCTGCTCGGGGGGAGCATATCCCTGCAGCGACATTGTGAGGGTTCAGAGGTGAAGTCGTAGCCCCTCTCTGTCCTCTCCGCCTGGCTGGGCTTGTAGGAGCCGATGCGGGAAACCTTTGCTGGGACTCCTTGGGGCCCCTGGACAGGAGGAGTCCCTTGGCTGTCAGCCTCAGGGCTTACCGGAATGCCTGTGCGTGCAGGGCCGTAAATCTGAACGGGGCTCCTGTGCCATGGCACTGCCCCATAGACCAGATCAGTGACAGCCACCCTGTTGGCCCCGGGCAGAGGGTGAGTGCTCCCAGTGTGCCCTCCCAGCCTCTCCCCACTCCACCCCATTTCAGAGCTTCCCTAACTAGTTCCTTCCGTCTTCTCTAATGAACCCATCATGCCCATTGAGTTCAAAGAGGTGACCTGGGTGCTGGCCACCGGACCAGTGGAGAGAGATTGAAGGGCAGAGAGACTCATGGCAGGTGGGTGGGCTGGAGATGGAAAGAGTATGCCGGATCCTGGTCAGGCCCTTCTGGCCCAGTGGGGATTACTGGGACCATTGGATCCAGGGGTCCTCATTCTCAGCTTGCCTTTTTTTGTGGATGGGGACAAAAGCCCTGCTGGCCCTTCTAGGGCAGGATTGGGGGGTGAGTATTGTGGTTGCTGCTCCCCGCCCCCCATGTGTGTTTCCTGGGGAAGTGACCCAGTGGGGCCTTTCCTGTCTAAACTGTCGTGGGCTCTAGACAGCAGAGCCTGCTTCAGGATGGGGGATGTTGGGTGCTCCCACTTTCCTCTGACCTTGACTCTTACTGTCTCCTGCCTCTAATCTCTTCCCAGTGGCCGTGGGTCCTGTAATGGGCCCTCCCTGGAGCATATTCTGGACTCTGGACTCTGTTTCTGCAGGGAATGGGGGCTGAAAAGGCTTGGGCTGAGGGCCGTGGACCTGGACTGAGGGGTGGGGAGGGGGTGCGGGGCAGAAGAACTGAAGTAGTAGCCCATGCTCATCCAAGCAGGGAGTTCCCCAGCCCCGCGGGCATTCACATCCAGGTTTTCCAGCCCCTGATCTGGGATGCTGAGTATGTGAAAATAGAGGGTTCTGGCTTGGGCTGGACCTATGGGGCCGGGGGTCCCTCCTTTCTCTGAAATTTCTGAGTTGCCTCACAGCTCTGAAGCATGAGGGGAGGGCCTACAGATTCAAACTTCCCTCCCAGTACAGGGAGACCCCATCTTTCCTGAACCCCTGGCCCAGGCGTTGGGCAGTTGGTAATGTCCGTGCAGTCCTTCTCTTCCCACGCTTTCTGCCATCAGGATTTTCAAGTTGGGATTTTACACTGGGGAGGGGATGTGGGGAGGCCATCATTTCCTCTGGCTGCAAAATTGGGCTCATCCTTCCCAGCAGTGGGCTGAAGTGAGAGCCTGTTGGGAAAATGATGGAGGATGGTCTGGCCGTAACCCCAGCCATGACCTTGGGACCAACAGGAGAGTTAGTGACCACTCTGGTGGTCTTCATGGGAGGGGCTGGAGGTCTTTTTCTCCTCAGCGGGGGCACGAGTGATGTCTGGGGTGGTCCTTACAGAGGAAAAGACACCAGGGCTGGGTGTCTAAAACCTGGGATCCTGCCCTATGTCCCGTGCCATCCCTGCTGGTCGCTCCCCTCCTTGGCCCACAGTTCTTGTTCGTCCTGTTGAAGCAGGCAGTCCCTGGGTTGGGGTCCGCTGCTGCTGGCTAGCCCAAGTGACAAGGGCCATCCTCTCTCACCCGAGGAAATGGCCCTGGGCCCCAGGCCTCCAGATTCTCAGCCAGAAGACCTCCCTGGGCCTGTGGTTTGGGCTGCAGGACCCAGAGCCTGGGCAGGCACGGCAGTGTGGCTGTAGACGGCCCCGTCTTTCCCAGGTGCTGGATCCCGTGACTTCCTCACCTGGTTCTTAGTCCACCTCCTCCAGGCTTTTACTCCCGTCCCACAGGTGGTTTCAGAGAATTGCAGTGACATTCCCTGGGTCTGGTGTGGACCCCAGCTCAGAGCCTGGTGTGGACCCTGGCCCGGCCCGACTCTGGCCTCTGCTCTCAGCCTCAGCTCCCCCCAGCCCCGGCCTGCCCTCCTGGGGGGCAGTTTCTGGGCTGGAGCAGAATCTTAGAAGTCAGTCGGGCCAGAATTGGGTCAGATTTCCCTGCTGCCGCCAAGGAGGAGTCTCCTGAGCCCGCCTGAGCCTCGCAGCCCTGGGTCCTGAAGCAGATGCCCTGACTGTGCCTTCATACCGCCCCCTACTGGCCAGGGAGGCACTTTGGGCCTGGACTGTAGAAGTCCCTGCTGTCTGGCCAGCAGCGCCTCTGAGCAGCCCTGTGAGCCTGGGCCCGTTCTGCTCTTCTCTGAGACCCCATCCCTTGTCTGTAGGACGGGGACTGTCCCATGAATGCTGCTGAGAGCTGTAAATGAGAAGACAGGCACACAGCAACCCAGGGGGCTTCTGGCCCAGGGTGAGGCCCCCAGGAGCAGACCCCAGCCCAGTGCTGCCATACCACTGCCACAGCCCCTGCTCACGCCTTTGGGACCCCTTGCCAAGGAGGACCACCCCCCCCCCCCACACACACACAAAGGTATTAGGAAGGATCCCTGTCCGGCATAGTCACTGTTGATGGAGTGATAGATGTGTTTTCCTACTTTATCTGACAGAGCCCCGGGTCCCTGCCAGGCAGGACCCAGCCAAGCAACCATGAGGCCACACTCTGTGCCGGTCCCAAAGCAGAAGGCAGGCCGGGCTGGGTGCAGGCATGGGGCCACGTGAAGAAGGGTTGGGAATAGGCTCGTTGCTAGGGGTCCCCTGGGTCCCCAGCAACTTTGTGCTACCTGGAAAGAACCGGAGCTCAGGGGCTGCTTGGTGACTGTCTCAGAGTCCAGATGACAGGGAGGAGGGACCGATCCCCAGTCTTGCCTTTCACGCTTGTGCCTGAGTTAGCCTGAGTCCCATGACCCCTTGGCCCTGGCTTTCCTCCCTCCTGTGTGGGCCCCGGGAGCCCCCTCCCCTCCGCTTCCCCACCCCCTCATCACGGCCCCGAAGCTGCTGGCTCAGGGGCCCGCCAGTTTCTGCTGAGTGAGCGAGTCCGGAGGTGCTGTCTTGGCACAAACCGATGCTGGGCCCCGAGCCCTCTCCCTTCCTGCCTCCCTCCCTCCACAGGGTCTCTTGCAGGGTGGAGGGTGTGGATGGATGGGGGGGCACGGAGGCTGCTGGCCACAGCACTACCTCTAGGGTCTTTGACTTCAGGGAGAGAAGGGTCCTGAGGCCCAGAGATGGGTGTTTGCCTGAGGTCGTCACAGGGCAGAGCAGCGGAGAGCCGGGACTGTCCCCCACAAGGCTCAGGGAGCAGGAAGACAGTCTGCCTTGCCTGGGCTGTGTGGCAGAATCTTCCTTCCTCAGCTCTGTGGGTCCTGGCTGGGTCCTTCCTCTCCTGCCCACCGGAGTGGGATACAATTTGCATAAAATTTCCGTTAACAGTAGCCAAGAAGGCTGTTCCCATTTAAGTGCCTCCTGTGTGCAGAGGGTTTTTTTCTTTAAATTTTATTTTTTATTAACATATAATGTATTATTAGCCCCAGGGGTACAGGTCTGTGAATCGTCAGGCTTATACACTTCACAGCACTCACCATAGCACATACTCTCCACAAAGTCCATAACCCAATCACCCGTGTGCAGAGGTTTTTGTTTTAAGATTTTATTTATTTATTTGAGAAAGAGTCCCCTGCTAAGAGCACAAGTGAGGGGAGGGGCCAAAGGAGAGGGAGAAGCAAGTCCACCCCACTGAGCAGGGAGCTAGACTGGGGGCTGGATCCCTAGACCCCGGGATCAGGGTCTGAGCCCACGGCAGACGGTTATGACTGAGCCACCCAGGTGCCCCCTGTGTGCTAAGGTTTTATGCACATCAGATCCACTGGGTGACCCCAGAAGTAGGGCCCAGAAGACTGTCCCCACTTTGTAGAAATGGAGTCTCAGATTCTCAGCACTGACGCATTTACAGTCTCCTGCTGGACAAACCCGAACTGAGCGCCTACTGTATACCAGGCCCAGCCCTAGGCTCTAGGCCTGAGAGGGTGGTTGTCAGTGAGGAGGGCGCCCTGACCTGGCCCCCAGGAGACCCCGCGTTTGGTCCCTCTGTCTGCGGGACAGCCCAGTGACAGCCTCATGGGTAGTGTACATGTTTTACAGATGGGCCCAGACCAAGCCCCGAGTGGCAGGCATGTGGCTCAGGGTCGGTCCCTCGGCTCAGTTCTGGGTCTCCGGACCCCCACCTTGGACTTGCTGTTTGCCCTGCAGCCAGCCCCACCCAGATGAGGGCCACCCGCCGCCCCTCGAAGCTGTCCCAGTCCCCTGGAAGAGCGTGGGCCCCTGCAGAAGCCACAGGGAGTCCCCAGGAGGCCTGGCGGAGAGCCCTGGAGGGGAGGAGGCCCAAGGTGAGGAGGGCCCCGCGGCCGCCCAGCTGGACGTGTTGCGCCTGCGAAGCTCTTCCATGGAGATCCGGGAGAAGGGCTCCGAGTTCCTGAAGGACGAGCTGCACAAAGCCCAGAAGGTGGGGCTCCGAGGGAGGCGGGGACAAGGGGCCCCCCTGGAGGGGGCCATGGGCTCTCCCTGAGCACCCGCACGGAGGCCGTGCCGAGCATGAGGGCAGCACAGAGGAGAAACCAGTTCTGGTGACTTCTGAAGGATTTCCAGCCGTTGGACTGCTCTGACGGCCCGTTCTGAGCTCTCAGAGAGGCTGACGGAGGCTGACGGTTGGGGTTTCGACATCGCTCTGCAGCCAAGTGGGAAACGCATCTAAGCTGTAGAGTGACAGAGGAAGGGAGGCTGGGGCTCAGAGGCCCGCGGAAGAGGACCCTGGCAGTGGAGCCCGATTGGTGGGCCTGGGTCCCCTCCCACCCCGCATGCCAGGCTGACAGCCGCCCTCCCTGGACCCCGCAGGAGCTGAAGCTGAAGGACGAGGAGTGCGAGCGGCTGTCCAAGGTGCGGGAGCAGCTGGAACAGGAGCTGGAGGAGCTGACTGCCAGCCTGTTCGAGGTACCGCGGCCGGCCCGCCGGGGGGCGGGTGGGGAACGGGCCCGCTGGCCGCGCGCTGGCCCCTCACCGCTCACGCACAGCCTGCCTTCTTCCCAGGAAGCCCACAAGATGGTGCGGGAAGCCAATATGAAGCAGGCGGCGTCGGAAAAGCAGCTGAAGGAGGCGCGGGGCAAGGTGAGGCCTGGCCAGCTCCCAGACAGGTGCATCTCACAGACCCCTGGCATATGGCGAGCTTCAGTTTCCCCATCTGTAAGATGGGTGTCTCAGTCCCCACCTCAAAGGCTGTTCCAGGGGTAATGGGGCAGGGGGGTTAGGTCCTAGTCACCACTGGGACAGGCCATCCTGAGTCGGGGTGGCCGGCAGCTGGCAGCCGCGGTGACATTAGCCCTGGACTGGGCTTGACGGCCACCTCTTCCCGGCCAGATCGACATGCTGCAGGCGGAGGTGACCGCCTTGAAGACGCTGGTCCTCACGTCCACACCAGCCTCCCCCAACCGCGAGCTTCACCCGCAGCTGCTCAGCCCCAGCAAGGCCGGACCCCGCAAGGGCCACTTACGTCATAAGAGCACCAGCAGCACCCTCTGCCCTACTGTGTGCCCCGCGGCTGGACACACCATCACCCCGGACAAGGAGGGCAAAGAGGTGAGGGGTCACAGGCGGCCAGCAGACACAGGCGACAGGCAGTGTCCGGCATCAGCACGCCATGGGGCCCCATAGGGAGACCTGACGCCTTGCAGTGTGACCTGGAGCCTGTCCTGCCATCTCTGGGCCTCGGTGTCTTCTGTCTGAGAGGGCTGGGCAGCCTTTTTGTGATACGAGGTTTGGCCCTCAGGCTCTGGGTGCAGTGCGGGTAGCCCCTCACATCTCCCATGAGGGCCTGCTAGCCCGTCCACACCCCGCCAAGCTGTAGGTGGTATTCTGGGCACCTGAGGCTGGCCTGGGGCCTGAGGGCCTTGCCTGGGCTGGGGGAAGAAGGGGGAGTTCTTCGGGAAGACTCCTTCCCTGGACCTAGGGAGGCCACTGCTGGGCCTCTGGGGACAGGTTGCTCGGGCCCTACGTGTCCGCAGCCCTGAGGTCCAGTTCGTGATATCCCTGGACTCGAGGGTCCTCAGCACCTTCTGGCGAGGGTACCTAGACAGGCAGAGCCTTTGGGAGCTGTCCCTGCGCCCCCCAGCCTCAGCTGGGGTCTTTGGTCCAGGCTGGGCAGTGGTGTCCTTGGCCATGGGTTCCTGGACATGTGAAGGCCCCTGCCAGAGCCTCACCTTCCTCACATAAGTAGGGCCTCCTGGGGCCATGGGAACTGACAAGCCCAGGTGTCAGGAGCTCAGCTCTGGGCCGCACCCAGCATGCCCTACAAGGGCCACGTGGGACTCGGGGTCCTGTGGTCTCTGACACCAAGGCATCCCCCAGCTCCATCCTGCCCCCTGTCTCTGGGGTTTCCAGGGAGGGGATGCCAAGCAGGCCTTGCCCCCACTTCCGAGTTCTCAGCTTCTGACCGTAACACTAACATCTCCTTCCTCCCGTCTGTCTCTGTGCACCTGTCTGTCTGCCCCGTCCCTCCCAGCCCGGGCTGCCCCCCCTCCTCTCCCTGCTCCTCTGCGTGGTCCCCAGCAAAGCTGTTCACCTCACCTACGAGCCGGCCTGGCAGCTCCTGCCTGGGGAGCCGCCTGCGGCCCCCACCTCCACTACCTCTCTCTCCTTTTCCCGACAGGTAATGGCTGGGGAGAGGGGCCGCCCCTCTGCCCCTACCACGCCCGGCCTCACTCACACCGCATGCGCCCAGGGTGACCAGTCCGTCATCTCCACCCCCTCCACCGCAGTTGGTGGCCCCATGTGTGTTCTCTCTGTGTGCATGTGTCTGTGTGCGGCGGGGGGACCTGCGGGGCCCATCTTCAGCTTTTCCTCCTCCAGGAGGCAGAGGGTCTTCGGGACGAGGCCCTGGACCCAAGTGTGTGACCCTGTAGAGCCAGGAAGCTAAAAGCACACCTAGCTATGGAAGTTTGGGTTCTGAGCCCCTGGGGGCAAAGGGAAGGAGGCACTTCTTCCTTAGAGCTCTGCTGCCCTGCTTGGGCCCCTGGGGACAGACCCGCTGGCAGGCCTGCCCTTCAACCTCCCTGGTCCCCACCTCCTTCGGCTCCACCTGTCCCTGCCACGGGGGGCGGGGGGGCCCCCCTCCAGCGCCTTGACTGGCCCCCTCTGGCTCACCCTCCCCCACAGGTGGACACCACCCTGTTCGCAGAGTTCCAGGCCTGGCGGGAATCACCCACCCTGGACAAGACCTGCCCCTTCCTCGAAAGGGTGTACCGGGAGGACGTGGGCCCCTGTCTGGACTTCACCATGCAGGAGGTGCGGTGGGGCGGAGGGCGGCCGGCCCCGGGGCCCAGCCCTGCAGCCCGAGGCCTGCCGCTCATGGCCTGGCCTGCTGCCCTGCTTTGTCGCAGCTCTCGGCGCTGGTCCGGGCCGCCGTGGAGGACAACACGCTCACCATTGAGCCCGTGGCTGCGCAGACACCGCCCACGGTGAAGGTGGCCATGGTTGAGTGTGGCAGCACCAAGTAAGCTTAGCGCCCTTCACCCTCTGCTGCCTGCTTGAGAAGGCCACGCCTAGCCTCGTGCTCTGCCCGGGGGTAACCAGGGACTGAGCCTCAGCCTGTCTCCGGGGGTCCTGGGGTGGGACCCAGGGCGGGAGTGTGGCGCACAGGCCTGGCTGGGGAGGAGCGCAGAGGCACGCTGGCCTCAGGCAGGGCAAGGAGGCAAGGTTGGCACAAATTCCTGCCTCTAGTCATAGATTCCCATCCCCCACCTCCAGGCCCTCCCGGGAGTCTCCCTCTTCCTGGCTGGCCTGCCAGGCATCCCTCTCCCACCCCCACCCTCTCTCCCACAGTGGGTTCTGGGCCCAACTGCCATGTAAATGATGTCGGCTCTTCACTCTCCTTGTGCTGATAAATAACCAGGCTGCCCTTGGCTTCTCGTCCTTCCTGTGGCTCAGCTGCCATCGAGCAGGGCTCGCAGCAGAACCAGATAGCCAGGGTAGAGCAGGGGGCAGAGGCGGGGAGCCCTTGCCCTCGGCAGCCCAGGGTTCGACCTGCCAGGGAAGCCCCACAGGGCGAGCCTCGTCACATAGGGGCACCTTTAAGCCAGGTTTTGAAGGACGAACAGCAGTTTGCCAAGTAGGGAAGGGCCCTTCAGGCAGAGGGAATAAAAGGAGTGAAGATACGCGAAGCCAGGGTGTTAATGGAAACATCACGGGGTTTCTGAGCAGAGCGATGGGGTGGGGAGGGAGATAGGGCTGAGACTGCAAAGTGTTCGAGGTCAGAGTGTAAAGGGTCTTGGATGAAGTTTGGGCTTTGACTCACTAGGCCAGCATTTCATAGTCATCAATAGATGTCTCCTAAAAAGAGGGCTGCCAGGTCCAGTCAGAGTCACAGTAAACGTGGAGGCAACAAAGGCACTGATAAGTCCCGCAGCCCAGGTGCCTACTTGACCTTCCTCTGCTCAAGAGTCTCCATAATGGTTTCCTGGGCAGTAGGAAAGGAGTGGGGAAAGATGATGGGCTAGATGTGGGCTTTGGAGGAGACCCTGGCTGTAAGGTGGAGAAGGGGAGAGGGGAGGCAAGGGGCTGGTTGGAGGAGCTGAGGGGATTCAAGCCAAAAGCCCTGCTGGCACGACCTAGCCCGAGGACCTGGTGACCAAGTGGAGGAGACAGTGGACTCCTGTTTAGTTGGGGAGGATGGGACTGAGTCTGAGGGCCCCAGTAAAGTAGGGGGTGTTTTGAGGGGCTGCAGTGAGTGGAGCTTTGGTATACCTTACATGAAGTGCACTGAGCTCTCCTGCCCCCTAGGGGCAAGGTGAGGGGTTCAGGGGTGAGATCCAACATAGGTCAAAGGTCTCTCCCAGGGACTTCTGAGGCTGCTGCCTCCTTCCCTGGCTCCTGGGAAAGCTGGGGTTCAGGGAGAGGATGCCAGGCCCCACCCCCAGATCCGTTTGCCTCTCCCTTCCTTGGTGCATCCTTCTGCCTGCCATCCTCCCTGCGTGAGCTGGGTGGGTGAGCTCCCGCCAGCCACCACAGCCCCCTCTGCTTTCCCCTAGTACCTGTGCCCTGAGCGGGCTGGCTCGTGCCTGTCGCCACCGAATCCGGCTTGGGGACTCTGAGAGCCACTACTACATCTCGCCATCCTCCCGGGCCAGGGTGAGTCATCCAGTGGGAGGGTCTTGGGCTTCCTAGGGGCACCCTGGGCTGGGACTCAGGGTGATCTGCAGAACAGGGCACAGGCTCAGAGAGGTGCAGAGACTGACTAAGGCCACACAGCCAAGACTGGTGAGTTAGTCTGTCATTACTACAGAACCAATTACCATAAACTTAGTGGCTTAAAACCACCTCCTTTTATTATTATGGTCTCCCTGGGGCGAGAGTCAGCACAGCTTAGCTGGGTGTCTAGCTCAGGGGCTGCAGTCAAGGAATAGGCTGGCTGCCTCCTTTCTGGAAATAGTGGTCCTCTTCTGAGGTCCCATGGCTGTTGGCAGGACCCAGTCCCTCAGGCTGGGGGCAGGGAGGACTGAGGTGCCTCTTTGCTTGCCGAAACCTAATCATGGGAGTGACATTAGGATTCAGGTTTAAATTCCAGGCTCCTGCCTCCCAGCTCAGGCTCTGGCCCCAGACTTTTGAGAAGGTGCTGAGTTCTCTCTGTTACTCGAGCCTGACCGTAGTGGAGGGTGCCATGAGGCCTCTGGGAATCCCAGCTCCCATCCTCACCTGCCAAGTGGCCCAGGCTGGGTTAGGGGACCTCACCAAGCTGGGGGATAAAGGAGAGAACCATCTCTTGTCCTTGACCTATTAGAGGCTGTTCAAAGGGATTGACGTGGGCAGATGGCCCCGTTGCTGGGCAGCTTGTCTGGGCCCAACGAGCTTCCACAGGGTGCCAAGCATGTCATCCGAGTGCATCCCACAGCAGTGAGCTGAGCTTCGTTTGCTGATGGAGTCTGTGCCGTAGAAAGAAGGGGCATGACCTGGACCTGGGGCCTCCCCATTCTGAGCCTGGTCCTCCTTCCCTGCAGCCTCCGCCCTGCATCTCTGTGCCCAGAGCCCTTTCCAGTGGCCTTTTTTTGGATCCCCACCAGGACTCCATAGAAGGAGCCTCGCCAGCCATTCTGTGCCTGGCAAAACCATATCCATAGATGTAAAAACTAAAAAAAACACTATAGAACTTTGTTTCTTCCAGGCCTGTGTGTCTCTGCCTTGGGCAGAATTGGGATGGGAGATGAAACAGTGTGAAATCTTAGGAAAGAGTCCCCACCTCGGAGAGACCAAGGCATGTGGCATCCGTAGGGAAAAGAGGTTTCCATCCCCGAAGCATAGCCCTGGGGAGAGAACCCCACTGCTCCCAGCCCCTCCTTGCTCACCAGCCTGCGGTGGGGGCCCACTGGCTGCTGGGAAACTCCGTGGCCGGGCACACAGGCCTCTCCAGTACCAATCTCTGCCCCACCTCCTATAGCCCCTCCTGAGCCACATGGGCTAGGTCCCCTGACTGGGGCGCCCCTCTCTCACGCTGGCCTGGGCCACCAAGCTTCTCCACATGCTTTGTCCTCCTGGCAAGGACTTCTGTGTGTTTGAGGGTCCCCTCCCTGTAACTCTGGACCCCCTGGGCCCCCACACACTTGGCATCCCTCCCCTGGAACCCTGGGCATTGAGTAGGTACAGTTTGGCCACAGCTGCTGGCCACCTTCTGTCCTGTCTCCGGTTGGGTTCCCTAAAAGCTGAGCCTGAGATGAGGATTTTACACCATTCTTAGGAGGAGTGAGGGAAGTAGAATGCCGGGATGAGGAAGTGGAAGAGGGCATAGCCTCGGCTGGAGTCTGCCTGCAGCCTGATCCTTGGGACCTCTGCAGCCCAGGGGGAGTTCTGCCCGGAGGCAAGGGACTGGCCTTTTTTACACCAGTCATTGGCTGTGGTGTGCCAGGTTAGGGGGTACAGAGGGGCACCCATGAGCTCTTAGTGGCCGACACTCTCAGCCGTGGGGAGAAGGGCGCCAGCAGCACCCTTTCTTGCAGTAGGAGAGTCTTTGTGGAAGGGCCCTCATCTGAGCCGACTTAGGGTCTGCGGTGCCCAGTACAGGGCCTGGCAGGGAGCAGGCCTCAGGCCAGGTGAGGGGCTTCAGGCCTGGGGATGCAGGGCAGCCCCGGTGAGCAGCTTCTGATCCCCCTGCCTATCCTGGCATTACCAGGAGCACCAGGCCAAGGCCTGGCGGCCAGGTCCTTGAGCTCCTGGAGCAGGCAGGTCCCTCAGGATGAGCGTGAATTCTACCACAGGCCTCCTGGTTTCACCTTCCAGTTCAGCCACTTACTGTCTTCGTGGCCTCTATAATTGTGGTCCAGTAGCTTTGTTCTTAGTCTCTCTGTTTTCCCCGTGTGTAAAATGGGGACGATAAACATGTCTGCCTCACGGGATGCTTGTGCTAGGTGAAATGTTAGTTGCTGCTGTGTTTTTTTTTTTTTTATTGGGAGGAGTACTAATACCGCTGTTTGTAATTAAATTTTATTTATGTATTTTTTAAAAGACTTGATTGACTTACTTGAAAGAGGGAGAGAGAGAAAGAGAGCACAGGAGCGGGGGGAGGGGCAGACGGAAGGGAAGAAGCAGACTCTCCCGCTGAGCAGGGAGCCCGATTCGGGGCACGATCCTGGGACCCCGAGGCTATGAGTGAGCTGAAGGCAGACGCTTAACCAACCGAGCCACCCAGGCACCCAAGTAGTAAAATTTTAGAGCCCAGCCCTGTTCAGCTCAGAGAGCATTATCTGGCTCTGATGGGATGTGGGGTTTCCCGCTCTGGTCTCTGGTCTGCCCTGGCTTTGCCGGGGGGGGGGGGGGCCCCTTTTGTGAAGGCTGGCGGGTCACAGCCTCCCTGCTTCTGCCCCCAGATCACCGCGGTGTGCAACTTCTTCACTTATATCCGCTATATCCAGCAAGGCCTGGTGCGGCAGGAAGGTGAGCGCCCCCTGGTGGCCGGCGGTGCTAGCCCATGGGAGGGAGCGGGCGGGCCTGCAGCGGTGTTGTGGTGGACCTAGGTGCTTTGTAGCCCAGACAGAGGACAGAGGGGAGGACTCTGCCAGCCTCTGCCAGGTCCCGCTGCCTTCTCCCACCCAGAAACTTCTCCCAGGCCCCTAAGGGGACTGCTCCCTGTTAACAGCCTGGCATTGGAAGCCCTCCACGATGGGGTGGGTGTCCCTTGTAGATCTCCTCCTCCCCGCTGGGGGTACACCTCATAGTCATTTAACACCAGCTGCTGTCTCCCACTTCACCCTTGCCCGCCCGGCAGGTCCTCCATCCACCTGTTGTCCCCTCTGCCCCTGTTCTGCAAGGCCTAGCGTCCTGCTTCTCCACCAGACTTGCCCGTTTGGAGTCTGAGCCTCTCTTCCCCAGCTCAGGCGTCAAGGCCTTGGAGGGGACCTCGGACTGACCCCGTGGCTCTGCTGACCACTCAGGGTCTCCGAGCCCCTGGGGAGACAGGGTTGGGAAGCGTATGGAGCCCAGCAAATGCATGGCGGTGTGTTTGTGCACGTTGGTGTCGAGCCGTGGCCGTGGCCCCCAGCGTGGCGGGGTAGGGTGTGTTCAGCACTCAAGTGTGCAAGGCTTCCGTGTGGAGCCTTAGAGAAGTCAGGGCACCACTGAGGTCATCTCTGCTGGGGGACTGGGGAGCCCTGGGTGCCTGCCAGCTGCCCTGCCCAAAGCCAGGGGAGAGGGGCCAGGCCATCTGCTCGAGGGGACCCTGACCCTGAGCTGTCCATCTTCTTTCCACCTGCAGCCGAGCCGATGTTTTGGGAGATCATGAGGCTGCGGAAGGAGATGTCGCTGGCCAAGCTCGGCTTCTTCCCCCAGGAGGCCTAGGGCATGGTCCAGGGCCTAGAGGGGGGCTCTGAGCAGCAGCTGACACCTGCCTGGGAAGACAGGGTGCTGGAGCCGGCCCTGAGCCAGAAGCTGAACCAGATGGACGAATGGCCAGGCCGTGGACGCCTTGCTGAGCTAGTCCCAGACCTTCATCCCGGGACAGACAGGACCTCGTGAGTGGACCCTTGTCTTCACAGACACCAGGAGACTTTCAAGAAAGCACCAAAGACCAAGGAGCTTGGACCTATACTTGGGCTCAGCCCTTGGGCGGGGGCATCTGGGGCAGGCCTGGGAGCTGCTGCTTGCAGGTGCCTTGTTGCTGCCACGTCCTCAGAAAGGGGCCTGACACCCACCTGGGTGGCCTGACCTCCAGGGTATTCCTGCCCAACCCCCCCCCCCCACCCCCTCCAAGCCCACCTCTGGTCCCACCAGCACCCCCTGGTGGCCACCCCTCACCTATTCCCGGGCAGCCTCCCTGGACTGGCCCCAGAGGGCCCCCTGCTTCCAGCATCTGTGGGGGTGGTGGGGCCCCAAGGGGCTGTCAGGGACTTGCACACCAACCTGTATCTGCTTGAGAACTGTCCCCAAACTGTTCTTAAGATGGATCAGGGTCCCTCCTCCTTGCACTTGACCTCCCCTCTCCCCTCATCTGAGCCCCGTGCTCCAGGAGGCCCTGCCCCCACCACCACTGGAAGGATTAGTATATTTTTCTCCCAAAGTAAAACACAGACAGGGCCTCAGGATACCCGTGTCTGTGTTCGGCCGTGGGTGGCCATCTAGATGACGGGGGCCGCGGCCACCAAGCCCGGCACACAGGACCAGGGTAGGGTGGGCAGGACCCAGGCCCCCTTCCTCACCCCTCAAAGCCCACTGGGGATCGGGATCCAACCTGGACACATCCCTCACCACAGCTGATTTCCTCCTTTGAATGGAATGTAACACGATCTCTATTTAATAAAGAAAGGCTTTGTTGGTCGAGGCTGGGCAGCCACGCGCCTTCACTCCTGTGCCCTGGGGTTCGGGCCAAGGCTTGGGCAGCTGAAGGAATGAAACCAAATCCTTCCCCAGCCAGCCCTCGTGCTTGGGATTAGGCCCAAATCCTGCAGGGATTGCTGTGGGGAGCACCCCTCGAGGCCTTTCCGGCGGTCCTCGGGGATGTGGGTTAGCAGGGCTGAGCCTGGCTTCCTCTCCCCTGTGGAGGGGCCCACTGAGGGGGGAGCAGCAGTGCTGAGCCTGCCTCTCACACTGTTTTGGGGGCACCTTGGGCAGATCCCCTTCCGGTCTCCCTGTGTCCATCTAACGGGAGGTTGGAGTTCAGAGTCAAAACCAGGAGGCCTCCTGGCAAGTGCCGGATGGTGGCAGGATTTACTGGCGATGTCTGCCAGCGGCACGGGCAGGGACAGATGTGGTGGCTCTGGCCCGGGCCTGCTCACCAACAGATTCTTAGTAAGGGCCAGGAGTCCCGTGGTGGACCTAGGGTGGTATCTTGTGGTGCCAGATCCCTTCCCCACCTGTAGGGCTGTGGGTCAAAGCCCGTGGGGGTCTCGGGGAGGAGGGGAGCATAGCAACTTCTGAGTCAATGTGTCCTGGGGCTGGTGAGGGGGTCCCTACTGGCCTGAGGCCTCAGGCTGACTGTGGACCGGCCAGGCCTCTGTCAAGGCCACTCAACCCTATCCCTCCCTCCAGCCAGTAGCTTTTTTGCTCTTGGTCTACTGCCTCACAGATTCCCCTTCTCTTCCCCCACTGCCTCTCCTCCTCCTCCCCCTCCCCCTCCCATCCGTGACTAGAATTCCCTCCCTCTCCCGCCTCTCAGATACCCACTGGTCAGGTCTCTGACGGACGTCCACCCTCGTCCCCCGGGTGCTGTGTGGAGCACAGAAATCAGTGAGGGGGGTCAGGGGAGGACGTGTGTGGCCACATTACACAGGGTTACCCCAACATCCTCTCCTACATACCTGCCTCTTTCTGCCCTTCCCTTTGTCAGTCCTGGGTCAGCTGGGGGAGAAAGAGCATGAAGGCCTGGGCCTCGAAGCTTCCCTGCCTCTGGATGAGCCACCCCCAGGGCTGAGGAGACAGCAGGCCGTGTTTCAGGAGCCAGGACAGAACGTCCCACAGCCCAGACTTGTTCGTGCTGCCCCCGGGAAAGGATTGCTTGTCAGGCCTGTGGGGCTATGGTGGGCACACAACAGTGGAGATACTCGGGTGAGGTGTTTGTCAGGGACCCAGGGACACACGATCTGGCTTCAGGACCTCCCAAAGGTGGCTGATACCTGAGCACCGCCATTGGCCCCAGGGCCTTTAAACAAGCCATGCCCTTGAAGCGAACCAATGCACTTAAACCTCAGAGCCATTCTGTTTCCCCATTGTGCAGCTCTATGCCCCGAGGCACTGAGAGGTCACATGGGCTAGGATGGGAATGCAGGATCCCAGCTCCAGAGCCCGCATCTAGGACCCCTTCTACTGAACACCGGGCTTGGGCCTGACATGGGATTAGGCCCTTCCCTGTTTTTCAGAGATGTAGAAACGGAGTCTCAGGCGGAGGCCGAGCTGGATTTTCCTTACGTCTGTTCCCCACATTTTTACCCACTTCTATCTGCCCTCACTGCCATTCTTCAGGCTTCTGGGGGTAGCGGGCTGGGGGGGCTCTCTGGAGGGAAGGGCTCAGGGCTTTGGCTCTCGGAGTTGGGAGAGCAGGGTTAACTGACATCAGCAAGACAGGGGTTGGTCCTCTTAAGTGAATTTTCTAGATGACTAAGTGCTGCGGGCATATGTGGTCACCTCTTAAGGGCTGGCAACAACCACGGCCACGAGCCCAAGCCCTCGAGGGGGCTTTCCACTGTGCCCTGCCATGTCGTGTTTTCCCATCTGCAAAGTGCATCCTGATGGGATGTTGCTGGGACTGGGTACCTGGGCAACAGCTAGGCTCCTGACGGGGCCTCAGTTTGCCCCTCTGTGAGTTGGGAAGATTAGACCACATGCCCTTTGCAGCCCCTCCCCCACCCCTTTTCCATTTATCTTATTGGGGTAAAAAGCACAATTTAGCATCTGAACTTCCTGCCATGGTCTGTATGAGCCACGCTTTCTTTACCCACCCATCCCCTGCTGGACACGCGTGCTGCTTCCACCTGTGGCCTAGCGTGGACGATGCCACGACAGACACGGGAGTGTGGTGATTTCTTCGAGGCCCTGCTCTCAATCCCTTCGGATATTCACCGAGAGGTGGGTTTGCCGGGTGACAGGCCACCGTTCTGTCTTCAGTTTTCTGAGGAAAACTCCAGACCGTCTTCCGTGGAGGGTGTGCCATCTTACGGTCCTGCCAGCAGCGCACTCTGGTTCCTGTTTCACCACATCCTCGCCCACACGTGTCACGTGGGTGTTTCTGGATCACTGCCATCCTAATGGCCGTGGGGTGATCGCTCACCGTGGTTTCGAGGTGCATTTTTCCAATGCCTAATGCCCTCGAGCATCCTTTCATTTGCTTCTTGGCCACTTCCAAGCAGCTGCTTTGTACCAAGGGGCACTTTGGGGAGCCCTGCCACGCGCCGCAGTGATGCCTCTGGGGAGGGACTGTCGTGGCTGGTCAGGCCACCGCTCTTCTGTCATTCTGTGGCCCCGGGCCCCCTCACATGGTGAAGAGCTGTGTCCAGGGCCTAATAACCAAGCCCATCGTGTGGTGAGCTTTAACTCAAAGCCAAGTCATAAAACTCGCAGAAACCAGGCCTGGGCTTTAGGGGTGCTCCTTCTGGTAGGCCCAGAACTTTCTTCTTGCTGCACCTCTGCCTCTTGCCTGAGCCTTGCTGGCCTGCACAAGCATCACTCGGCTCCACGACCTTGGCTAGTGGCTCCATGGGGGGTGGAGACTTGAGTGGGTCCCACGAGAGGCCTGCGTGTCAGCTCACAGTCCCGGGAGAAGCTCTGGGCCAGGGGCCAGATGCGGGTTGGAGGGGCTCAACCCCAAGCAGGCACCCTCCCTGCAAAATGCTCCAGCTGCCCAGACCACCCTCTCCTGCCTTTTGGTTAGCTCTCCCCTCCCCCTGCCTAAGGCTGAAGCCTGGCGGGGACCCAATGGCAGCTCAGGAATGTCAAGTGGAGCCTCTCCCTTTCCAAGTGGTCCCAGTGCCCTGACAGGGAGGGGGCGGGGAGGGGGATAATAGAGTCTCAGGTTCTCCCAGGGCCCCTGATTTTAGGAGAGTTGCAAGGTCCACTGGGTTGAAGCCTGGAGGGGTAAAGCCACCTATGGAAGTCCTCAAGGCCTGCAGAGAAATCGTGTGAGCAGCTGTTGGTTTCACTCCAAGAAAGAGACACACAGTTCAGGCCTTACAGGAACATAACAACAGACGGCAGGAGAACTCAGCCATCGCTCTCTCCTTGCCAGGGTTGAGTGCCTGGAGGCATGGCTCTGTGGCCCCAAGCCCTGTCCTTGCTTTACCTCCTGGGGGGCCCTGTGCAGGCCTTCATCAGCTGGGGCAGGTGGAGGTTCCGACCCACTCCACTCCCCCAGCCACCTTGCACGTGGTTGAGAACCAGGTCAGGGCCCAGGAAGGTGGCAGGGGTGAGCATCTGAACACTGAGGGCTACTAAAGCTGGGGTGGAGGCCACGCCCATTGTGCAGGGGCTGGAGATTGGGGCAGGAGGTTCAGTTCCGGTAAGAGCCTACCCTCTCTATCTTTGTGCTCACCTGTGGACATGGTGGCAGCTGGGTTATCTGCAGTCACCGCCCACCTCAGCCACCAGCCACACACACCTATACTGCCTGCCTCCAACATGCTCAGGGAGGGGGTTCAAGGGCACCTCAGTGATCAGGCAGCCCAGGGCCATGGTGACAGCAAGGCCTTACCGGTTGTCCTGGCAACCGAATAGAAGTCTCTTGGTACCAAGGAGAATCCAGAGGCCACTTCAACCTTTCTTGGCACCCCAGCCCTCCTGCCCCACAAACACTGGCTTTAATGATTTCCTACAAATTGTTAAACCAAGATAAAAGGTTAGCACATCAGAGAAACATACTCAGTGTTCTCCAAGTGCATTCCCAGAACCAGCCCAGCAGCAATCTCCCCTGCGAACCTGTTCCAAGCACAGTTCTCCGCCCCCAAACCAGCCCAGCTGAATCCCACCCTGGGGGTGAGGGCAGCGCTCCTGCCTCAACAGGCTCCCCGGCCATGCTGCTGGGCTCACCTGCAGCCCCGCAGCAGAACCTTGGCCTGACTGCACTCCACATCATTTGTGAGCGCTTCGCTTCTAGGAACAGGTGTCTTTATCTCAAAACACACAAAAAGTAGTTTGGGGAGCACCTTATACTCTCAAAAGGACTTGAATTTATTTAGGTAAAAGTGGGGGAGGGTGCTGTACCAGGCAAGCCACCCAACCGGGCAGCCAGAGGACGACAGCTGCCCGCTACGGATTCCGGTGCCCCTGCTCCCCTTCCACATCCCCACCCTGCAGCCCCATCCGCTGAAAGACCACGGCCCCCCGCAGACGGCCCCGCGCCGGGCGGGTTGGAGCGGCCGGTCGCTCAGCCCCGACGGCGGCCTCGCTGCGCAGAGCTGGGGGGCCGGTCGTTTGAAAGCTGTTTACAGTCACCCCGAGGCGACGTTCCCACCTCCGAGCGCTCGGGACTGAACGTTCCAGGACGCGTGGCTGGAAGCCCCGTGTGCGCAGACTGTGGCTCCAAGCCCCGCCGGCGCAGACCTGGGCCCCGAGGGCACGGCCACACAGGTCAAGGGTGTATAAAGTCCCCGTCCCTCTCCGGTGCACCCCGCCCCGCCCGCCGGGAGCCGGGAGTCCGCCGCGGACGGCGCCCCGGGGCAGCGCCGGGCGTGGTGGCCACGGCCCCAGCGGCCGGGGTGGGCCCGCCTGGACACCGCCCTCGCCGGCCCGGAGCGCGGCGCAGCCAATGGAGGCCGAGGCGCCGCGCGGGGATTGGAGCCGGCTCGGGGCGGGCCGGCGGGGCCGGGCGAGGGGAGGAGGCGAGGCGGGCGCTGTCAGCGCGGTTATAAGGGAGGGAAAAGTTCCCTGCGCCGGGAGCCGGGCAGGCGCACGCTCGTACGGCGGCCGCAGCGGCAGGGCGGGGCCGCGGAGGAGCCGGTGGCGGCGGAGAACGCCCCCGGGGCCGCGACGCGCTCCCCTCGGGGTCTCTGGCAGACGTCGCCAAGGTACCGGGGGCCCGAGGGCATTCGCACGCAGCCATGGGCGGCGTCGGGGAGCCGGGCGAGGGGCCCGCGCCTCCGGGGGCGCCGCTGCCCACCTTCCGCTGGGAGCAGATCCGCCAGCACAACCTGCCGGGCGACAAGTGGCTGGTCATCGAGCGTCGCGTCTACGACATCAGCCGCTGGGCACAGCGGCACCCCGGGGGCAGCCGCCTCATTAGCCACCACGGTGCTGAGGATGCCACGGTAAGGAAGCCCACCGCTGGCTGGGTGGAGCCTGCCGCTCGCTAGGGCCTGGTCGTGGGCACTGGGACCCTCTCCACTTGGCGGGGTCTGGCATCCTTTCTGCTCTTCGCTGACCTTTGATCTCCCGTTCTGGGACCCAGAATTGGGATGGACAAGCGAGGGCCCGATGTGGAATAAGGAGGCCACGTCCCCGCATGTAGGACCTGCACACCGGGCCATGGAACAGGGCTGGGCTGGGTGCAGCGGGTATGTGCAGGAGTGAGGGGCTCTCAGAGGTGGGTGTGTCGTGGCCAAGGAGCCCTCCCTGGGCCCTGAGCTTCTCCTCTCGGATCTGGGTCCCCCAGGCCAGGTTCCTTTTGCTGAGTGCCAGATGTAGGGGGGGGCCCCCCCCCCCCCCCCCCCCGCCACCGGACTGCAAGGATGTGCCATCAGAGGCTGGGCACTGGGCAGCAAAGCCTGAGCAGGGCCCAGAGGTCTGTGGCTTTCCTGAGAGCCGCTGTAAACTGCTCTGAGGGGCAGTGACTCACCTCTCCTGGGCTGGCAGCTGCACGTGGGAGAACTTTGCCAGCCAGGCTGGGTGGGCCTCCTCGGGAAGCACGGTCATCCCAGGAATAGGCTGGTCCTGGGGGACCCTGACTTCCCCTTCCCAGCCCATGTCTAGACATGTCTTGCCAAGGAGGGATGTGGCCCAGTCCACTCGGACTGCCTGGCCAGAGTCCAGTGGTAGAACAGCCTGTTGTGGGGAGCCCTCTTTCTCATCAGCCCCTTCCTGGAGTCCAGCAGGCCCCATCCCGAGACGAGGAGTCGAGGCCATGATGCTCTGCCTTGACCATCTAAAATTCTAGGCTGGCCACTCAGGGTACCAGGAATCTTCCAGATATCAGGAGATGAATCCCTAACTGGCAGAACTCTTAAGCAGCAGAAGAAACTGTTCTGTTCCAGGAGGTCAGTGTCCCTGTATACCAGGGCTGCTGGTTTGGACAATCCCCATGGACTCTGTAAGGGAGAAGGTCTCTCTTCCCTATGTCCACCCCAAGAACCTGAGGGTTTAGAGTCAGAAGCCTCCTGGAAGTTGAGAACCTGACAGAAAGCCTTGTCCGTGGGCCAGGTGGTGGCCATGGCATTGAAGGTGACTGGGGGGTGACAAGTGTGTGACCACGCACGGGCCTATATGCGTGTCAGCACTGTACGTGTTTGTGTGCGTGGTCGTACGCGTGTGTGTTTCTGCCGGGGGAGGGGTTGGGATGTTGGCCCCCCCTCAAGTCCACCCCAACCTTGGAGCTGAGGGTCTGGATGGAGGCAGCTGAAAGGAAGGGTGACACAGAGCATTTCTCAATTACTTGTTCCTGCTTGGTGCCCAGGCCGGTGCTGGGGGCCTCCCTCATGGGAACCCCATCAGACAGTTAGCACTCGACCCCGAAACCTCCCTCTGACAGTTTTCGCGTTGGTTTAATCACCAGTAAGTTCCGTTTCCCATTTCCAAAAAGCAATCTCCCATCGGAGACTCAGATTGACCTTGAACCAGGTGTTACTCCTCTGAGTCTCAGTTTCTTCATCTGTAAAGTGGGGAGAGCTGGGCCAGCCAGTGAGCCAGCTGCAGGCAGGACTGTGCCTTCTCAACTTTGTGGCCCTAGGGCTGCCACGTAGTCGCTCCTGGTCGGTATGTGTGGCTGGTAAATGCGAGCACGCCTTGCAGAGCACAGGGCAGGGGACTAGCCGTGGCATAGCCGCCCCTGGGCCACTCGGCCTTGTCTGGCTCTGTCCACGCCTGCGACAGGAAGGAGTGGCATTGAGGCCATCTTAGCTTTCTCGGAGCTCCAAACACCAGGCCGGAGTTGCCAGAAATAACCTGGGCTGTTCGGGCCAAAGAGGTTCTGAGGTGCCTGGTGGGGGGGACCCCAACCTTGGTCTCTGCGGGGCCTACAGCACAGATAACAGATGTGAGCAGCCCAGTGCTGTGTGTGGTCAAGTCCAGGCCCTGGGCACCCCATTCCAGGCCCTGGAGCACAGGTAGGGGTGGGATAGCTGTCCTGCTAGGGCTGTGTTCCCCCGGCCACCTCTCAGTAGCCCCAGCCGCCCCATCAGCTGTTCTCATGTCCAGGCAACAGAAGCCTTCCTGCCAGGAAATTCCCAGAGTTCCTGTGCCATGAAGTCAGCCTGTGGCCATCCTGGGATACAAAGCTGGGTACCCTGGGGAGAGTGATCTGGGCCCCCAGCCAGGTTTGCCTAAGAGTCAGAGGCAGCTTGAGACTAGTGGAACCAGCCATGGAGGGGCAAGACCCGGCTGCTGCTGGTCAGAAGTATACCAGGGCTGGGCACCGAGTACCTACTGTGTGCTGGGCTCCAAGTTCAGCATCTGCTTTATAGATACTCTTTTAACCCTCAGGATTCCCATGTGAGGCAGGTACTCTTAGTGATTTTTCCCACTTTACAGATGGGAAAACTGAGGTTCAAAAAAGGAAAGTGACTTGACATTCAGTGGCAGTGTCTGAGATGTGAATCCGTAGCCCATCCTCTTAACTACATGCTGCCCTGTGACTTAACTGGTTTTTTCCCATTCATTCATTCTTCACTTACTGACTCATTAAACCCACCCGCAGATCCTCAGTGAGCATATCGCAGCCACCAAACTGTGCTCCAACCTCTAAAAATACAGCCACGAACGAAACATCGCAAGGATAAAGTTCCTTGGCAGAGGGTCGAGCTAGAGCAGAGGCTCAGAGGTGGGAAGGTGCTCAAGGAGATCAGCAAGGAAGTCAGCGGGGCTGGAGTGGAGCAGAGGAGAGAGGGGCAGGCAGTGAGGTCCAGAGGTGGTGGGAGCTGGCTCCTACTGGGCGTCTGTGTCCCTGAAAGCAGAACTTTGCTGTATTCTAAGGGGATCTTGGAGGCCAGAGTGGGGAAGCCAGGGCAATCTGAGATACAGTTAAAAGGATCCCTAATGGGGAGGGGAAGGCAGAGCCCTCCAGGAGAAGGGCAGCAGGCTAAGGGAAGAGATAGTGGGGACCTACCTTCTCCCAGCTGAGGTCACTCAGAAGAGGTGGCCAGTCACCTGGGCTCAGAAGGGCAGGCATGGCCAGGGCAGAAGGCAGGAGCTGCTGGGGGCCCAGGAGCACCAGAGTGGGGTGGGTGGTGTGGTATAGGAGTTAGCTTTAGGGGTGTTCGGACAACAACCCATCCAAGGCACGTATGCATGTTGACCCATTTCACGGATGAGGAGACAGGCTGGATGTGGGTGACGTGCAGGGACCTTTTTGCAACCCTCAAAGAGCAGGGCCTGGGTCCTTGGGCTTGGAGAGTGGGGCTTGTGTCTGGGTTGGAGCTGGGGGAAGGTGGGCAGAGGGGAGGCTCTGGGGGGTGGGTTTAGAGGGGGCTGGCCAGGAACGCAGAGGACCTGGCTCCAGAGCCCACACTGCTCCCACCCAGCACGCTGGCCGCCTGCGGGGACTCCGCATGAAGGGTGACCTCCCTGGTCACAGCCTTGGTCATTCTGCAGGGTCCCCACCCACTCAGGCTCCTTCCCAGGGTAGTTGCAGTGCCTGGCTCCTGCCCTGGGGGCGTGCTGGGCAGGAACACAATGCCAACGGAGCGATGCTCGATGCTCGTGGCCCCACCCGCCTGGTGGCCCTCCGCGTTTCTTCCCGAGGGCACGCAAGCATCGTGCTTTCCCATGAAGCGGCTAGGGAGAGCCAGAGCTCCCGGAGGGAGCTGAGGGGCGGTGGCTGAGAAAGGACCACATGTCAGAGGGCCTGGCCCCTTTGGGGCTCTGGGCACTTGTGAAGCCAAGGGTGCTGGGCGGAGCCCTAACGTGGGTGCTGGCCAGTCACTGGGGGCACCAGGAGTGGCTCTCTGGGAGGGTTGGTCCTTGTGCCTGGCTGGCCTGCACGGGTGGGGGTTGCACGGGCCATGTTCAGAGCTGTGTGCCCTTTGGCCTCTGTCTCTATGTGTCCTCGTCTATAAAACAGGGACCCTGGTATTACTTCCCCACTGGCCCCGATGAGGCAGGTGGGGGGGCATGGGAAGGAGCACGCAGCCTGGGCATGAGGGCCTCCTTTATGTTCCCACCAGGGAGAGGAGGGATGGAAGGATTCCTGGGGTATCCCGTCAGGCTTACCCCCCTACCCACCATTGTCATAATTCAACAGAGGCTTAAGTAGGCTGCATGGTCAGACTCAGACCTCCAGCAGCCCTGCTCCATTCCTTCCTGATCTGGAACATTCCCAACCCTTTGGGGAGTGACCAGAAATGCTTGCCTATCCCCACTATGTGTCCATGTTCTCCAGCTTCAGGCTGGCCAGGATTTGAATGTTGGGGTGCACATCACTCCCCTGCCTCACTCCCACAGGCCTGCCCTGGGAGGCCACTAAATCCCAGTGGGCTCAGGAGAAGGGCACATCGGGCCAGTGGGAGGCTTGGCCGGAGCTGGAAGCCAGGCCCTTCTCAGTGCACTTCTACCTGCCCAGATCCGTCCTCCCGGCAACCCCATGAGATGGGCACTGGTGGTTTCTGCTGTACTGTTGAGGAAATACAAAATGGGGAGGGGGGCATGTGATCTTGTTTGTGGCTTCACAGCTCATGACGGCTGGTCCCCAGCAGCCTGGCACGGAACCCCCCACTCCTGCCCGTTGGCCGACTGCTACCGGGGGCTCACGAGGAGCTGTGGGGGCAGGGCAGGAGCTCGGAGAGCATGGATATCACAGATCTACTTGGGCTGGAATCCCCACTGGGCCATGATGGACTCTGGCCTGGGCGGGGGTCCCTACCACTCTGAGCCTCTGTTCCAG